TTTACTTTGCCAGCCAAACCGGTGCACACTCAATACAACCTTTACCTCTATACTTTGTCACGCCTTCCCACACCTCCCCGCCTTGCACGCCTCGCACGCAGCTTTCCCCCAGCCCCACGTCCGCGTTCCCGCCGGGCACGCCTTGCAAACCTCGTCCCTCACGCCGCTATAAGTCCCGGACCTGCACTTTCTGCACTTTCCCGCGGCGAGCCCCTTCCCGGCCGCGCGCCAGCCCCTGCACGAGCACTTGGCCCCGTTGTACCCGCTGCGCACCAGTCCGTCGGGGCACCTCTCGCACGCGGCCCCCCTGCCCGCGCTCACCGCCCCGTCCGCGCACGGCCGGCAGAACTCCACCCCGCGCCGGAACGCGAACACCGCCTCCCCGGCCGCGCACCCGTCCGCCCCCGGCCCGTTCACCACCCCCGACCCCGTGTAGAACTCCGCCGGCGTCGACCGCAGCCACCGCCCCAGCCCCGTCACCCGCGTGAACACGCTCGGGAACAACGGATGCCCGCAACGTACCCCGAACGACGTCGTCCCCACCAGCACAGCCTCGCTCCCCGCGTAACGCAGTAGGGGGCCGCCGCTGTCCCCGACACTGCGTCAGAGGAACGCCACGCGGAAAAATAAAAAACATACATATCATAGCCCCGCCCGCTATCCGTTAGTCTCCGCGTTCGTCGCGCGCCGCACGCCCGAAGTGGCGAAAACACCCCCGTCATAGCTTAGCTTACCATGTGTCGCAATCCCTGCCGGTGTAGCCTGCGCAGATCTGGTTCCTAGCCCAGATTTTCTCGGGCACCGTCAGCGTGCCGTACCGCGCCTGGCACGCCGCGTGCGGCACGACGGGCATGTCCACCTGCCGGAGCGCCATCGGCCGCACCCCGACGCGCCCGCCGTCGGCCCCGGTCGTGCCGTAGCCGACCGTGCGCAGGAACGCCGTGTCGAGCGGCAGCGCCGCGTCGTCGTTGAGCCGCATGTACTGCGACGCCTCAGTCGTGCCGCCCTCGATCTCGACCACGGCCACGTCGAACCGGTACTCGCGCACACCCGGGAACGCCTCGAACTGCGGGTGCTTGAACACCCGCCGCACGGGGAACGTCCCCGCCGCCCCCCGCTCCGCCGCCTGCCCGAGCCCCAGCGTCCACGCCTTGCCCACAGTCACCACGTGCCGCGTCGTTATGTCGCAGTGCGCCGCCGTTAGCACCCACTTGGGCGAGAGTAGCGTGCCGGAGCAGATCATCTTGAACCCGGGCGAGTACAGCGCTACCATGTAGTTTTGTAGTTTCGGAGACGCGAATTGGCCCCCGACGATCCGAGGCACTATGGTGAGTTCGCGCCGCGTTGTGCCGTTGTCAGCGAGGTGATCGTCAGCAACATTTTGTTGGTCTCGTCTCACCTGCACGTTCTGAGGTCGCAACCTCATGGATAAACGCTCCACAGGTTTGTCCCGTGAGAGGACCACGGGGCAACTCGGACTGTCCTTTGACGGGACTGAAGAGCGCAGAAGGTTGGCCGCAACGACGGATTCGGCAGCTCTTGACGATGGCGGCGAAGAAACCATGTCGACGCCATTGCGTGTCGGTGACGCTCTCACTGCTTGAAGCGTGAGAATCAGTACCAGCAGCAAATGGGAAAACAGGCGTGCCATACCAATGCCGGAAGCGAGAAACTCTCTCACTCTCTCACTCTCTCACTCTCTCTCGTTTCTAGGAGAGGCAAGGAGCAAAGTGGGTATTTAGTGTCTAGGGTGGGGCAATAAGGAACAGTCTCACTTGCGTCCGTAGAAAGTTGAGGAAAGAAAAGCTAAAGAAACCTGGCTTACGGAAGACAGGGCGCTGATATTATTGAATCCTGGGGATATACACTTGGGGAAAGGTTAAAATGGGCGAACGCGCTCCAAGACTGCAGCACACAAGATTGGAATCGAAACTCGAGGCGGCATTCTGACGACGAATGATCAAGTGTGACGCCGAGAAGCACGCTGGAATAAAAAGACTGCCTGATCCAGCGCTCAAACTGTGGCAGATGGGACGTTTTTCTTGATGGCTTAGGGCACCCGCGAGCGATTTATAGACGGGCCCGGCGTGTTTTACGATAACACAAAACTGTAGCTGTATTCTACGCGGCATCCCTGTATGCTACTGGAGCCCACAGGCCACGGTTTTAGGCCAACGACGAACGGGGAGGAGGGGTTAATTGATTTGAGGTTGAGCCCATCCCTAAACATACATCGAGACTAGCGCTTTGTATGTCAATACGCTTGGAAGCGTGATGTAGGGCAACCATTCCCCTAATCCCTAAATCCCCTAATAACCCCCTAATCCCCAAATCCCCTTATCCCCAAAATCCCCTATTGTTTTTTGTTTTTTTGTTTTTTTGTTTTTTTTCGAGTTCGCAAGTCGCCCTGCCTGACACTCCGACAGCAATTGCATGGGATACACATTCGTTACAGTGAGACATATAGATACAGTAGCACGTTTGTGACCTAGCAATGGCGGTTGAGGGGATAGGCAACGACGGCAATTTTGGAAAGTGATTAGCGAGTACATAGAATCTTATCTCCGCAACCGTACAGTGACATGAGTGCCAGAGACAGCAGGCCGCCAGGCCTCGCGGTATGTAAATTTACGTAAACAGTTGCGTCCGCAGTAAGATGACGGCGAGTGTCAATAATAAGGTTAGTGTGCAGGTTTTACCGACTAAACTGCATTTAGCGAACGCCTATCAGTGATACAGATTCGATGAATACAGAAACTGCGGCGCACTGTACTGTGATAGGCTATCACAGTACAGTGTGTTTCTTATTGGTCAATGAATATAATAGTACATTAATATATACTGTATAGTAATAGAGTTCATTGGGATGCCGAGGCAGCGAGGCACATTCGAGCAATGGATGATCTCATCCATTGATTGAGTGTGCCTCGCTGCC